GGGAAGAGTGATGGTTGCTTTGATCTTTGGAGGCCCTGTCTGGATTAAAAAAAAAAAACAACAAGTGTCCAAGTCCCCTTTTTCTAAACCTTAAGAAAACATGAGCAACTCAACAGAAGTGAAAGGGATTCTTTAGAAGAAGTATGTGTGTGTTTTTTTGAGGAGTGGAGGATGATACTGTAAAAAAAACCATCTGCCTTAAAAATAAGTGGACAATTATTATTAATAATAATAATAATAATAATAATAATAATACATTTCTCTTGAGTCTAAAGTATCTTGAGAAATTGCTCCTCCTGGCCAAATATTGTTGGAGCTGTGCACAAGTTTTGACCATGTTTTGTTTTTTTCCCACTTGATTTTCAGGCAAGTGTGTAACAAGATGCGTATTCTCACTTCATAAATTTGTGGTGGAATGGGAAATGGGCATTTCAAGGCCAATAAAAGCCACCACATCAAATAAAACTTCGCGGATCAAAAGAACCAACGCATGGACATTTTTTCCCTCTATAAATTAAAAAAGGGGGGTAGTCTGCCACGCTTGATCATGCCCTGAGTCCTGCCCCGCTCTTGTGATTGGCTGGACGGACACACAAGGGGGGAAAGTTTGAATAAAATACAAGAGCATGGCACCAGTGTTGTCGTTGAGGCTTGTGCGCTTGGTCCAGCAGCGCTTGAGTTGCACCAGATAGATTGGCAAAAGCTGTTGTAGGCGCATTCTTTGGAAGTTTGAAATACATTCAGAGAACTGAGTGGATGACTGTGATTTATCTAAAAGGACTTTTTTTTTTAACTTTAGTTTATATTCAATTTGTGCGTTTCTGGGAGCGGATAACGAGTGTTGTGGCATCTTTTTTTTTAAACCGTGCGTAATTGTCGACCCTTTTCTGCTCCATCAGTAAACTTTTGTGTTCCCCCGACGAGACGTTGCATTTGGAGCAAGGACATCATCTAAAGCCGGGGCTGAAAGATGACAGCGATCAGAATGGTTTCATCAGTGCTGCTTCTGGTGCTGATGCAGTCCGGGGCTCTTTGCGCACGGAGGTTCCGGGGTGGCCGCAACCCGCAACCACGACGCTCACCACCTCCTCCCACATACCGGGCGGACCGGGGTGACACCACGGAGAGCTTCCCTCTGGATTTCACCGCCGTGGAGGAGAACATGGATAACTTCATGACACAAGTGAAGAACCTTGCGCAGTCCCTCTACCCGTGCTCGGCGCAGAAGCTCGACTACGACATGAAGCTGAACTTTTTGGAGAATACGACAGTCACCTGCAACGACGGGAGTCCCGCGGGGTATGTACCAACCGAGAACGCACACGCACAATGTGATGAATGAGGATGTGATTGGATCGCCGACAGGTCAGAGCATTGTCGGCCGTGCGGCGGTGCACCCTGGAGCTGTTGTTGCAGCTTCAGCAGGGGCGCACCCCGTCCCTGCTGGTCATCTTGCTACCCGAAGTAACCCACATGTCTCTGGCCTGAGGACAGCAACGCTCGTCTCAACGGAGAGTGGGCACAAGATACAATTTTTTTTTTTTTTTTGTGTGTGCAAATGTTCAAAATTAGGGTTCGATCCCTTAAACATTTACATGCTGAAAATAATAAAATAAAAATAAAAAATAGAAACTTAAAAAATTAAAAATAAACGGGGACATTTTCAAAGGAAAGTAATGTTCTGGGATATAATAAGGTTCAGTCTGGATAAGATAGACAGCTGCTTTGAGTCAGCGAAGCGTGAAATTTGCGGATAGCCACATGGCCTATGCTTCATTTCCTTTGCTTCAAATTAGAATGCAGGATTTGCTCTGAAGAAAGTTTAGGTTTAAGTTTTCGGACCCCCGCCCATCTCTCTCTGTCTCTGATGATTGCACCCACTGCGCATACTGTTGAATTGTGATTTTACAGCCATTTAACAGTAGCCTATGTTTTCTCTAACTTGGCTACTGTAAAACGTGTCCTAGTTTATAGTTTTGTTTCTAGTAAAAGGCACTTGTAGTCTATGGTCCGTGCGGTAAACAGTGGACCACTACATTTGCTTCCACTGCTGACATTGTTGTTAAGCAGAAATCCATTTGGCAGTATGATTTATTTGCTTGGGCGGGATAAGCCATGGAACTAAAAGCACTTTCAGCCAGTTCCACTGCCTCTCCTGTTATTTATCAATACATAAACAATGTACAGTCTTTGGATATTTGTATTCTATTTGGTTGCAGGGAGTCAAATTGTGTCCTGTAGGTTAAACTGATTCTTATACACAGAATACTGATAATGGAGTTATGGCAGGTGTCCTTTTTAATATTCATACATGTATTTACACGATTCTTGTCTATAAGTGTCTTTGCTTGAGTCTCAAACATATTATATCTGCAACACAAGAACACAAATATACACATTCTGCCACAGTGAAAGAAGGTTGCATGCTCCTATTTCTTTGTAGCCACATTGAAAAGCACTGCTCAATCATTATCATGTAGTTTAGTCATTATTATTTGCCGCTTTCAGTATTATGTAAATGCTTTACTGTAACTGTTGTCCGTACCATATCTGGAGGCTTTGGTGACTGTCTGCCATTGTGCGTACACAGTCAGACTTGACTGAAATGCTATACATGTCTCTTAATGGATTTACCATCCTGTCTAATTCCTGTTAAACCCCAAAGTGGGAGCGAGAGATGTAAAGCTCTTAAGAGACGCAGCATGAGGACGAGAGCAGGAGACAGTTACTGGCAGATGGCCGTTTCATTCACTACTGTGGCTGTTGTCAGTTGAGATGCTAATCCATCAGCTTCTAACAGTGTAACAGTGTCACAAGAGAGGCGTCGTTACAGTTACAGATAAACAAGGATGCAACAAGAATAAAATCATTCACAATAGACAGGAAGGTGGTGGTGTGATTCATCTTCTGGAGCTGCACTTGTTAGAGCGCCTTTCTCCCTTTTGGCTTGATCAGCTCGCCAAGCCCGCCTTCACTTTGTTGTTTGGAAGTAGTAAATAGAGTGCACTGTCCTCAGCCTACATCATTGACTGTGGCTCACAATAATAGCACAAGACATTAACTGCAGCCAAAGTGTGATTCAGTGTCTGAGCGAACAGCTCAGAGCTTCAGCCAACTCTGTTTCCTTTAAAGTCACTGAAATGTTTTTGGCAATCCTCTTGAGTTTAGTCACTGGTAAAGTTGGGTGGATACTGATTGAATTAGAAAAAAAAAACACACAACGTCACAGAAGCACATCTTGCTTCTATGGCTAAAGCTACTTTACAAACCAGATTTTTTTTTTTACTGGCCTTGCATGTGATTTTGTTTTGGTATTAAATAAAAATCCTGTTGAAAAAAGGTTTGGTGATGCATCAAACATGAGTGCCTTCTGCAACATGGGAGAATCATGATAGCATTGCCCTCTTCTGGACTTACAACATACAGCACATATCTCTTATATTCTAGTGGGCATTCACTTCTTTTCAGTCCTAGTCCAGGACATATTCGAGGGCCAGACAGTCGAATGTCTACGTGTTGACATTTGCGCAGGCCAAATGTTGTTGTGTTATTCCATCTTATCATTCCTTTTCGGCCTGAGCCTTGATTTGATCTGCGTTGTGTGTGAGGACACTGCTGAGGAATGATGAGCTCAGAGTGAAGAGACTATGATGGTACATTAAACAACACGAATACCATCTACTGGCATCTACAGTACAAACAGGATAGGGGACGAGATGTTTATCTCGGTGTGATCGCTATATCAGTTACTGTGAACATAACCTCATTGTTCTCACAGAATTTATGTTGGCGGAATTTAATTTTAGCTGTTTTTTTTGTCACCTTTGAAAGATAAGAATCAACACAGCAACAGGACATCCTTTTCCCCATTAAAGTGATGATTTTGTGTTTGTTTATATTTCATGCTTGGATACCATCACTGATGGTAGAAACAGTGAGGGTATCGCCTTTCAGTGATTATCTCATCTTTTCTCAAGAAAGAACACATTATCAAAGAGGTGGAATGTGGTTGCATCTGTATAAAAAAACAACAACTTTTTTTAATATTTGCACGCAATTCAAGCTCCTGATGTGCTGATTTCATATTCTTTGGTCTCTTGTAGGTACTATCTGAAAGAATCTCGAGGCAGCAGACGGTGGTTGATATTCTTAGAGGGTCGGTATTAAGGACTAATGTAACAAATTTCATCATGTTTCTGCTTTCATGCTCAAAATATATGATATAATGAACTATTGTAGACAATTTGTGTGAGTAATTATCCCTATTTTTTGTGGATCTATGTCCAGGTGGCTGGTACTGCTTCAACAAGGAGAACTGTGACAGCCGATATGAGACCATGAGAAGATTGATGAGCTCTTCCAAGTGGCCCCAAACTAAAACAGGTCAGCCTCAGCTACTGTATAGTTCACTGTGCTGCAATAAGCACTGCTCGTACTCCAGCTGTGGCCCGTAGCAAATCCTGACCCCCTTAACATGGTGATAAAAGCACCCATATCTCACTGTAATGTCTCGGTAATTAAAAGGATCGGATGTATCTGTGCTCATCTGCAGTGTTATTGCAACCAACACCCCGTCATAATGTAACTGTGGTGTAGAGTTACCTGGCGCCCACTGCTGTAGGAACAGAGACGCCTCCCTCTCTCACTAGAGTGTAATAACTGTAATCCACGTGGTAATGATGATGAGGAAGAAGAGGATGTGTCTGGGAGTGCCAGGATGGCTAATGATACATGTTGATCTGTCTCTGCAGGCACGGGGATCCTGTCTCCGCTGCCTGAGGAAAACCCTCACTGGTGGAATGCCAACATGGTGTAAGTTGACACATGTTTGCGTGTTTATCGAAGCTCAATTTTTTAATCATAGTTGGCAACTTTAACTTTATGTTTGCTGCGCAGGTTCATCCCGTACTGCTCCAGTGATGTGTGGAGCGGCGCGACAGCCAAAACAGAGCAGAGTAAGACAAGACTTAATCATCAAAACAAGCATACAATGTCATGTGATCCTCTTTAAGAAAAGTGTTATTCTACATATCTGCTTCCTTTGTGTTGTGTGTAGGTGGCTATGCCTTCATGGGCTCACTGATTATTCAAGAAGTTGTGAAGGACCTGCTGAACAAAGGTCTGGACAACGCTAAAGTTCTCCTATTAGCGGGAAGCAGGTATGTTTGTGTTTGCTTGTGATTTCAAATTTAAAGTATTCTACATTTCATTCGTATCCCTGTATAGGTATGAATAGTACTCATGTCATATTTCTCCATGCAGCGCGGGTGGTACTGGGGTCCTCCTGAACGTGGACCATGTGGCAGAGCTGCTGGAGGGACTGGGGCACACTGGAATACAAGTGCGAGGCCTTTCCGATTCTGGCTGGTTCCTGGACAACAAGCAGTACCACTGCACGGACTGCGTTGACGCTGTCAGCTGTGCCCCCACTGAGACCATCAAGAGAGGAATCAAGTATGGGAGCCACTGAGTGGACTAATGGTATTTTAGTAAGGGGACGAGATGATCAGGTTGCTAATGTCTGTCCTTCTCACCTGCTGCATCAGGTACTGGGGAGGAGTGGTACCAGAGAGGTGCAGGCAAGCCCATGAAGGAGAGGAGTGGAACTGTTTCTTTGGATATAGAGTCTTCCCATCAATAAAAAGTGAGTTTGGGGTCTGATTCTGTATCTAAACATGCTAATGTTAGTGTCTTTGCAAGCCCGAAACCTCTGTGTGGTACATGTTTGAGTATACTATAATCCTATATTAATCTTCTTCATCCATTCTCCCTGTGCAGGCCCTGTGTTTGTTGTCCAGTGGCTGTTTGATGAGGCCCAGTTGACAGTGGACAACATCCAGCTAACAGGCCAGCCCGTGCAGGAAGGCCAGTGGCGCTACATCCAGAACCTGGGCATTGAGCTGAGGAACACACTCAAGGACGTCCCGTAAGGCCAAATCTCTGCATTATAAAGGACGTTAATTAAGTTAAGTAGGATTAGTGAATGGATTCAGATTGATTTATTCATTCCTTTTTTTTTTCAGGGCTATGTTCGCTCCAGCGTGCCTATCACACGAAGTCATCACCAGAAAGTGAGTCCAGTATAACCAGTCTATCATTATGACACTAATCTGTTTGAGGCTTTCTTACTTGTGAGCTCACAGCGCCCTCTTGTGTTGTGTTCTAGTTACTGGATTGACGTGCAGGTTAAAGGCACTTCCTTGCCCCGAGCGCTGCACTGCTGGGACCGCAGTCTCCATGACAACAGGAACAACAAGGCTCCACCCAAAGGCTGCCCTGTACATCTGATCGACAGCTGCCCCTGGCCACACTGCAACCCCACCTGCCCCACCATCCGAGACCAGTTCACAGGACAAGAGATGAACGTCATTCAGTTCCTCATGCACATGGGCTTTGATGTGCAGAAGATGGCCCAGCAGCAGGGCATGGACCCCAGCAAGCTACTGGGCATGCTCAGCAGCGGCAGCTAAAGGGACACACAGTATCTCCAAGCTAAGTCCGAGCAGGGCTGGCTGGTCTCTCTGGCCGGTCTCCCATGCCTGATACCTCCAACTACACATCCACCTTCACAACCCATTCTACCTATAGTCGACTTTCCTCTGAAATACTGTTTACTTTAATCCAGGCCTCGGTCAAACACAGGGGCTTAGATTTGTCCCACAATCCCTTTTCCTCACAACTGATGACAAGTACAGGGGCAACACAACACCACGACAAGGCACAACTCTCTGCTACTCTCCATTTAAATTATCTTTTGCTTTGTAAAAGAAAAAAAATATCACAAATCCAGTTTTAAGGATGCTCATTGATGTTTTGTTTTTTTTAAAATATTGTTTTCGTCCTTCCATATAGATTATATTTAGTCATTGTTAAAAAAAAATGCCACAATGACGTAAGAATGATGTCTTTGTTTAGTAGTCACTATAGAGTTTATAAGGACATAATTCTGTTTTGTAGTTGGTTCTAACAACATATCATCACACAAAAAAGCTACATCAAGACAGAAACAGGGACATAATAAGGTGAGATAAGCACTGGATCAGGAAGGAAACTTTGTATTTATCTCTAAAATAATGGCGAGAACAATAGAGAGAGACAAGTGATACCAATACTCCTCTAATCAACTTGTGGTATAAAACCAGGTAGGATTAACAACCTCTTTACATAGTCAGGCTACAGAAATTTGCTGCAGACTGACAAAAAGATGTTCCTTGCTAATGAATTGAAAGAAATAGTAAAAAAGAACAAAAGACACACATTTTATATTATCATTATTATGATTATCACAGGTTAAGAGAAAAGCTCCCTGTAGAGGTAACTCATTCCTGACAACGCAGTGGCATATTCTCAGTTTCGACAGCTGTGAAGATGCCATGACGCCTGGTTTAATTGTTTCCTGAAGCTGATTGTGGTCCTAAAGTGGACCTGGAAATCCTTTCAAGGTCTATCAGTATCTATACATACACCACAGTGCCAGTACATCTAGTCTATACCTCTTTCTCACAGGCCACATCATCACAAACCCGAACATTGGGTACACATTGATGTTAAATCACCTCATTAGTTCAGCAATTCTCAGATCAATGCAATGAACATTTAAAGGGAGACAAATATTGTGTATTGTATATTTTTTTGAGTATTTGTATAGGTTCTTTCAAATGTTCACTATTGTAACTCCCTTCTTATATTTCATAATAGAGATCACTTTTTAATATAATGACAATGTTTGTATGTAATGATGTCTTTATAAATGATGTTTTAAAGGACCTCTATTTTGCATCACACCAGAGAAGAAAAGGTATTACTAATTGTAATTTTATTCTGTAACATATTTTTTAACAGAAGAAAACTCAAGCTACATTGGTAATTTACATATTTATTTTGTTATGTAAATCATATTTATAAGTGCTATTTTCACAGAGAAGTGATTCTTTGTAAATTGTAAATACATTGCTGTTTTTTTCTTTTTGTGTTGATTGCATGTCTTTGTATCAGACCTAAAAGAAAAGACACATTACATATACTACAAGATATTGCTGTACAGTCTTGTTATTATTATTGTTATTAATGGTAATAATCGTGGAATAGGTATCAGAAGCGTTTGCACAATTCTCCTTCCCATTTTACAGTCGCAGCGCAGCAACCTTTAGCAGGAGGTAAGGTCAACAGCTCCCTCTGGCTCCCACCACGGCTTGCCACTATTTTGACATATCTGATAATAGATACGAGGCTCTGTACACACACTGACAGTCAGACAGCTCATAGCCTTTTAGCAGCTTTTGTTAAATCTCAAGAAATGTGGTCCATTTCCTATCATAAAAAGCTATTTCAGAGAAAATTTAACTGAGAAACTGCATTTTTATTTGACTGAAAATGACCCATAATTAACTTACATTCACTAGCTGAAGCAAGTTCAGATGGGAGTGGTACCCATCATCATCTGTCTGCACTGCATTAATAATCTTCTCTGCACAGTTTAAATGTGCACTTTCTTACACTGTGACCCTTATTCAGCCGTGCACTCACTGTCTTTATGATGAATGGACTGCAGTCATTTATCCAGTGCGCTTAACCATTTGCCCTTCAATCACCTATTCACACATACACTCACACATCCATACAAGGCACTGGCCTAACCATCAGGAACAGTCAGGCTTCAGTTATTGCTCGAGGACATTTCGACATGTGGTCAGGAGGAGCCAGAGATCGAGCCACCAACCCAGTGATTACACGACCTGCTTTACCTGCTGAGCCACGGCCGTCTTTACGCTCCTATGACAACCTCTGATTTTGTTGCAAATCTAAGTATGCCATATGCTTAGTTTGGGTCACTTTAATGCGCCAAACACAGTGCTGTATGGTATGACCATCACCATATGACCACGATATCATCTATATATCTTTTCCACAAAGACATTTTGGACAAAAATGTGTTTTGGAGTGGGTTATGAATGAATTAGGGCTAAAGCATTACCCAAAGTCTGGATCTTCTTGTTGAACCTTTGTTCAAGACTGCTTTGTTAAAAAGACACAATGATGATGATCATATGGAGGTGGTCATATGGAATGGTAATAGAGGACAGTTGACTGATTTAATAAAATATATAAATTCTACTACTAACAATCTTTCTTTCACTGTGGAACAGCATGACACTTGTATTCACTTTGTAGACGTAAGACTTGACAAGGAAAAGAACAGTACTATTGAGAAGCAGAGAGTAATCAATCAGGCATCTCATCATAATATCCCAATTGGCTAAAGCTGCAGGCATATCTCTTCGGCCTATCAGAGGACCTTAGATACAGAAAGGGCACTGGTTCCCAACCTGGAGTAGTGACTGCCACTAGAGGTCACCAAAGCTTCACAAGCGGTCACAAGACCTTCTTGATTTTAAGGGGTGTAAGAAAACATAGTATGCCTCTATCTAAACTTAATTCATTTCTGTGATTTCTAATGTTTATATTATTATATAATTTATAATAAAAAATCTCACAGGATAAGGGCACAGTGGAGACCTGAACATAAGCTAAAATAATACATAATGAGTTCCTAAAAATATAAGGAAAACTTATCTTTGATGTTGACTGGAAATAATCTGCTCAAAATTCATCCAAACTGCTAATTTTACACAGATTTCATGCAGTTATTGTATTCACTGTTTGGTTAAATTGTTCAGTTTAACAGTTGTTCTGTACTGTCATTGTTATGCATTGAATATAATATGAAATATCCATAAAATATGTCACTTAGTCAGCAGTTGTCAGTTTTACTTAATGATAATAACTGAGATAGGGAATCCATGTTAAAAAACAACAACTACTTCCTCGCTGATCACTTTCTCCACAGTCCTCTGGCAGTCAGGGTCAAAAACATTAACCTCATATACTGGAATTTCCACAAATGTGATCCATCTCTAAATAATATCAGCTCTGTGCCTCCTTTGATCACGGTCAAACGGTCTTGCAATCAGGGAGACAGATTGGTTCATTCTGGAAAAACACCCATTGGCTCTCTAATCAACCTACAGCCTTTTCCCGCTGTGACCACCGTGTAAAATGTAATCTCAAATACGTTATGCATCCAAGTACTGTTAGAAACAACAACTATAAAATCCTTCATAAACTCCAGCAGCACACATGTCTACATGCTGAAATGTGACATCACTTGAGGCAATTTAACAGCACAGCTCCTTCTGGAGTCACCAAAGGCTATATAACTTTTGTCAGCATGTGCAGTATTCCTATCAAACACCTGTGATTTTGATGTATAAAACTGATGGTCAGGCATACAGAAAGTGCCTGATTTCATCCTTATTTAAAAGACAAATAACCTGATTAAAGTTATCTAATTAGGGAACACAATCAATAGCAAATTAAGCTATTTCCACTAAAATATAAAATATTTTATTTCACTTATACCTTCCTTAATTGTATATGATTTTCACCATCCCATATTCTTATTGCATGGGACTGTACAAAAACATTCCTATATGGAGTGTTCAAAAACGGTTGACCAGCTGTATACAATCTGATACCACAAATAATTTCAAAAACTATTTTCAAAAACCTTGCACACTGTAAATCAAAAATCACAGCATATCACAGGTTAAAGTATTTTAAGTAACTACTAATCCATTTCCACTTCCCTCCGACATGCATTACTTGAATCTGTCATCACTGATGCATAATCATCCCTCTGGACCTGTGTGTAATTTATATCTCTAATGGGAGTCTTAGCCTCTCTCCCTGTCATTACACTGCATATAAATGCCAGTTTCTTACTCAGGGAGCTCTGACTCAGCCTCTCTGGGTGCTCCCTAGAAATACGACTCCCATACTGCTTGCCACATGTAGCCTCCCACCCCACTGTGGAATATAGACCCCCTATTTATAGAGCTGGCGAGGCCTGTAACCCTGGGCTCGGCACAAACTTTCAGTTAAACAGCCACCCTAGCAATCCACCAAGTGCACACTGACACACACACACACACACAAACGGGACATACAGAAGGGAGAGGGTGTGTGTTTGTGTGAGTAAGAAAGAGTGGGAGACCAAATCCAAGAGGCAACAGGAGACAGAAACAGCAAGACAAAGAAGAAGACACAGAGCCAACATTTTGAGTGATTTTAACAGGCAGTTATGGGCCTACAGTGAAGAAATTATAAGGACCGAGATACTGAGTAATGGAACTTGACTGACCGGTCCACCTGTTTGACACTTGAGGCTATTGTTGGAAGATTGATCTCTGGATATGAGGACCGCACTTCACTGAACTTTTGATACACTGGACAACTTGGGGACTGAAGAGAGACAGCAAAGGAAAACCAATATTTTGGAGGACATACACCACAGCTTTGAGTAAGACCAGGATCAAATTCTTAATCTCTAAAACTCTAAAAAAAAAAATTAAAAACACTACGAAAGGACTGATACCAGTGGTGTATAATTTACAGAAATGAGTTTCTATATGCAACATTTATAGACTATAGCAGTCAAGTAGACACATTACTAAAAAAAATAAAATAATAAAACCTAGCCATTAAAAAATATATCTTATTTCAAGGTCTTAATAAGCATCCTTTCCTATTACAAGCTACTGTAAAACTTCTACACAACAGTGTCTAAATGTAACTTAAGCACACCACTGTAATTACAAAGCAAGCTCAGGGAAAAATTACAGACATTTGTAATTAAGGACCATCTATAAAAGGCAACCAAGGAAAGGGTGAGGTCTGCGACTTGTGCCGCAAGGACATCAAAACTGAGAACAGGAACAGCTGCTTCTGCGGGGACAACACAAACCATGGATTCTAATGGAGGACACTACCTCAACAAAGAAGCTGTGCTGTCACCTTTAGGTGCAGCCCGAATGTGCCAGCTGCTACTCGGTTGCACCATAATGGCCCTTGTGTCCCACAGCGCAGGCTACAGCGCCACCTATGGAACCTTCTGCATGTTTGTGTGGTGCTTCTGCTTTGCCGTCACACTGCTTGTGTTCACGTTGGACATTACGCGACTCCACACATGCATGCCCATATCCTGGGATAACTTCACTGTGGCCTTTGCCATGCTGGCAACGCTCATGTACATCACTGCCTCTGTGGTCTACCCAGTTTACTTCCTCCAAACAGATTGTCCCGATGAGGGTTGTGAAGTCCAAATGTACCGCATTGCTGTGACTGTATGCTCCAGTGTCTGCTGCTTCCCATACGGTGCTGAGGTGTTCCTTACTCGGGCCAAACCAGGTGCTGTGGTGGGTTACATGGCCACTGTGTCTGGTCTACTCAAGGTGGTCCAGGGTTTTGTGGCCTGTATTATTTTTGGAGCCCTGGCCAATGACAGTGAGTACAACCTCTACATTGCCACCCAGTACTGCGTAGTGGTGTACAGCCTTTGCTTCTCCGTAACGGTCATAGTGGTTATACTGACAGTTTCTGGCAGGACCTCGGCTCTGCGGTTCCCCTTTGACCGGTTCGTGGTTGTCTACACCTTCTTCGCTGTGGTCCTCTACCTCAGCACTGCACTGATCTGGCCCATCTTCAGCTTTGACAAGAAGTACGGTACCACTACTCGTCCTGAGGACTGCCCACGTGGAGACTGTCCTTGGGACAGTAAGCTGGTGGTGGCAGTTTTCACCAACGTCAACATGATCTTGTATTTTGTTGATCTTGTTTACTCCCAGAGGATCCGCTTCGTCTCTAGCTCTGCTGTCTAAAAAAAACATGCCCTTCTCAAGACTTTTTAGCCTCAAAGACAAATAAAGACAAATTGGGGCCACATGCTCTCCACAGCCTTGTGCCTGTGAAGGACTCATACCCTTGGATACATAAATTCATGGTGTTGTATGCATGTATGAATTTTTTTTTATTATCAATATTTGTCTAGAATTGAGCCTGTAGGCAACAAAGCTGTCAGTATTGCCACAAACTTAAAGGCCTTTCTCCAGTTCTGCAGTGACCTACCAGGGAGAGCATGCCAGGTGCGCTGATGAGCTGATCTCAGCAACTTTGTCCACAGAAGACCCTAGGAAACATCAAATACAGAATCCTTTGGTGGTCACATTCAGGATGGAGCTATAGGAGTGCGGGATAATGTTTAGAATATCAGAACAGGGTTATGTAAGTCAGACTTACAGACTCAGCAATTTATTTAAGTATTAATGTATGTGTTAAAATGTATTTAAACACTATGAATGACGATTAAAATATATCTCATTGAGATGCATAGCATATGTTAGGTCTACAGTATGCACTGAGCATAGCTTTTGATTTGATTGGATTGGTTTTTTTTGACATCACAAAATAGTCTACCATGTCAAACAATACATATTCATTGAAAATGTCAACGATAATATTAAAAAAGTTTTTAAAAAAACACACTTACTTCCATTGTGGTCCTCTTTCCAGGAAGACAAAGATGACAATATGAGTCTGAACCAACACATAGGCTACATTAAACTACAATACATCCTTTCCTACACAAGTAAAGTGTTTTTTGGCTCTCAAGCCATTTTATTGTATCCTTGTACTCATAATGCCAAATAATGAAGGCTTTTTTTTCTCTTCTGTTATCCATTGAATGTTAAATGTATCTGATACATACATTTTTGAAGGCAAAAACAGTATTCAACAGTATTAAACGGATTATTTGGGATAAGCACAAACCTGTAGTGTAATATTTCTTCTTTTGCTATGTTTCTGATGTATTCCCTGTTTAATAAAATATCAAACGTTGTGTTGGTCTTTTTGATATCTGTATCCTTTGATCTGTGAACCTTTACTCTTTTCTTCTCTCTACTTTAGAAGATATAGAACTTGAAAAGGCCACATTGATATTGGTACAGTTGTGTTGATTGCTAAAGATGAGAAGCCTATATTTGATTCACAGTCAAATTAGTATGATATTTCAACATTTGATATAAAATCCTGTAACATCTGTAGCAAAGGAAGGCCTTTTTTTT